GCCCAGGTTCAACGGTTTTGCAGCGCTATGGTTTTTTTTTTTTTTTTTTGATTTGTTTGAAGTTTTTTATTCGTGATGACTTATATGATTCATGAAGTATGACATTTCGCTTTTAGATTGGTGCAATGAATTTTCGCTATGGTAGGCTAAGATACGTGCAGCACTCGTACAACTAGATTTGGATGATACTTTGCTGGGAATTGACAAGATGCCCGCAACTTTGACAGCGGATGAGAAATCACGGAAGGATAAGAAGGCAGTTTCTCACATTCATCTTCATCTATCAAATACTATTCTTCAGGACGTTTTGAAGGAGAATTCAGCACCTACTTTATGGTTGAGGTTGGAGTAATTGTGCATGACTAAAGTCTGACAAGCAAGTTGAACCTCAAACAACATTTATACTCTCATCGAATGGTAGAAGGAGGGTCATTGGAAGATCACCTGACTGTTTTTAAGGATATCTCGCTAATTTGGAAACTTTGGAAGTAGAGTATGATGAAGAAGATTTGGCCTCGATTCTATTGTGTTCGTTGCCCACTTCGTTTTCTTCATTTAGAGATTCTATTTTGTATAGTTGTGATACTATCACCATTGATGAGGTTTATGATGCTTTGTTTTCAAAAGAGAAGATGAAGAATCTAATTTCTGAGGCTAGAGATGGAGATGGCTGGTTGCTCATAGTGGTTCTAAAAGGGGCAGATCGAAGTTGAAGTCTAGTAATCAAATTTGTAACTACTGGAAGAAGAAGATGCACTTGAAAAATGATTGCTACAAATTGCAGAATAAATAAAAGATGGCTGCAAGTAGATATTCAGATACTTCAGGCGAAGCAGACCTTGTGGAGAATGTTGTAAGTGATGGGAAACTCTTAGCTATTTCTGACATCGAGTCTAAATCGGAAGATGATTAGATTCTTGATTCAACATGTATGTTTCATATGTGTCCTAATAAGGAATTGTTTGCTACATATGAAACTATTTCCAAAAGTGTTGTGGTTGTGGGAAACAACACATCTTGTCGGGTTGCTGGAATTGGTATAGTTAGATTGAAGCTTTTAGATGGGACAATTAGGACACTTGGCCAGGTTAGACATGTTCCAGATTTGAAGAAAAATCTCATTTCTTTGTCTATCCTTGATTCAAAAGGCTATCAGTTCTTTGGTGGAGGTGGAGATTTGAAGGTTTGTAAGGGTGCTCAAGTTGTATTGGAGGGACAAAAAATGTTTCAATTATACATCTTGCAGGGTCATGCAGAATTTAGAAGAGTCAATCAGCATAAGTTCGGGACCGTGGTGTACATTTAGTTTGGTACAATACCTTTAGGAGCTCATAAATGGTCGGATTTGAAGAATACAGTTTAGTGGAGTTCAGGAGATATGTATAATGCCGCTTTGCCAACATTACCTGCGGTGCCATTATATTCAATTGTTAGGGACGTACCTAATGTAAAAGGGTATGTGGATGCTGATTTTGTTGAACATGCTTTAGTGGAGTAAAATGTGTATAATCTAGCAAGTAGCATTCTTTAAAAACATTTGGATTTGATTATGTTTTGAGGTGTGTTACAATCCAATTTAGTAAATTATAAAATCATTATATTTGGTTGGAGAAATCAGTTTTTGGTTATTGTTGAAGAGTCGGTTCATTCATTGGTGAAATTCTTGTCAATGTGGAGATTGTTAGAATTTGAGTGTGACTCGAATTCCTTGTTGAAATAATTGAAAAATTCTAATTGAAGTGCACATCAAGAAGAATTTAATTAGGAATATTATTGGAGTCCTATGTCAAGTGGAAGTTTTATTTTAGAAGCTCATTGGGAGTTGTAATTTGTTTTGGACTCAATTTTATAGCACCCTACTTCATCAACAACTCTATAGGTGGGTTTGGACATCTCCTACTTATTCCTTATAAATACTAGGCTCTTCTATAGAGTTTTATAGTTTGAGAAAATAGATTACTAGAATTATATGATCTATTGTAATTTTCTTTCTTCTCCATTATTTTTGAGTCAATAAAATCTCTTAATTCTTCTGTCATATTCTTGTCTTTATTATTTTTTTACTTGATCAGATATTTCATTATTATTTGCCATATAACTTCAATATTTCAATCCGATGATTTATTTCACAATAATTGATATCAGAGCAATTCTTCTGGTATCTTGGTTGTTTTCACAACACTTAAATTGTTAATACACTAAGAATGTTAGGACGGACTTAATACAATTATAGAGTTTAAGTTGATCTGTGGTCAGGTGAATAAGTGTACACTATGATTAAAATATACACTGTCTGAGCGGAATAACACACTAAAATACGAATACAACCAAATATTCGTTGATTCTGCGAATATCCAAACATTTACAGACTAATTTTTTTTATTTGAAAGGACGAATGCTGGAACTCTCAATAAGTAATATTGTAGAAATGTAAAAGAAGAATCTAGAATGATGGAGAGAAAATGGCAGGAAATGGTTGATTCATTCAATTGGAAAATGGACTTACACTATACAAATGAAAATGCGAAAGAAATTTATACTGTGGCAACTAACAAAACAGAATGAAAAGCTGGTAAATGACATAAATAACCCTCTACTATTTTAACATCTCAACACTCCCCCTCAAGATGGCAAATGTATGTTTAACACTCCCATCTTGGTAAGAAGTGAAGCAAGTCTCGTTCCGGCCAAAGGTTTAGTTAATAGGTCGGCTAACTACTGCTGAGAAACCGTATGTAGCATCTTACTTCATCAGCGTGAACTTTATCCCTTACCAAATGACAATCAATTTCTATGTGCTTGGTTTGTTCGTGGAAAACTGGATTACTTGCTATGTGTATAGCAGATGACTATCACAGAACAACAAAGCAGGTCTGGTGTGATCAATTTGCAAGTCATTCAATATAGTTTTCAGCCATGTAGACTCACGGATGGCTGCAGCCATTGATCTGTATTCAACTTCAGCTGAAGATCTTCATACGGTGTGTTGCTTCTTGGACTTCCATGACACAAGGGAATTGCCCAAAAAGATACAATATCCTGTAATCGACTGTGTTGTATCCGAACATGCTGCTCGGTTAGCATCACAATACCCCTTGAGCTGAAGATCAGATTTACTAGAAAAGAATAACCTTATCCTGATGAGTTCTTCAGATACCTTAGGCGTGATAAGCTGCCTCCAGATGTGACTGTCTTGGGGACTGAAGGAATTGACTCAGAACTTGTACAGGATAAAATAAATCCGGCCTGGTAATAGTTAGGTACAAAAATCCTCCCAACAAGCCTTCTGTAGACATTAAGATCATCTACAGGCTCTTCTTCATCCTTTCTCAACTTCAGGTTGCACGGTAAGGGGCTATTTGTTGGCCTAGCACCAAGAGAGCCAGCATTAGTAAGGACATCTAATGCGTATTTTCGTTGGCAAATAGATATTCCCGTTGAATTCTTTGCCACTTCAAGACCCAAGAAGTACTTCAGAATTCCTAAGTCTTTCAGCTTGAATTGCTTGTTTTTCATCCTTAAATTGATTGATGTAAGTCAAGTCATTTCCCCCTAAGTATTATATTATCCACATATATCAAAAAAATGGTGAATGAGCAGCCATCAGTCTTGCTAAACAATGAATGATCAGATTTCGATTGGTTGAAACCCTGTGATTGGATATAAGAGGTAAGCTTCATGTTCCATTGTCTCGAAACTTGTTTCAATCCATAGATTGACTTGTTTAGCCTGCAAACCATCTTTTCACCACACTTGCCCTGCTGCTCATAACTTGGAGGCATAAGCATGTAAACCTCCTCAGCTAACTCACCATGAAGAAAGACGTCATTGATGTCCAGCTGGTGAAGATGCCATTGCTTAGCAGCTGCAACAGCCAATAGAGTCTTAACAGTTACTAATTTCGCAATAGGGGAAAAAGTTCCTTCATAATCCAACCCAGCCTGTTGAGTGAACCCCTTGGCAACTAGGCGTGCCTCTTCCTTTCTTCTGTGCTATCAAAATTCATCTTAACTTTAAAGACCCACTTGCAGGCAACTGGGGTCTTGTGAGTAGGAAAGGTGGTAATATCCCAGGTATGATTGGAAACCAAAGCATTATACTCCTCATCTATAGCAGCAACCCAATCAGGATGTTGAGATGCCTCAGTGAAGTTTCTGGGCTAAAAAACAGTGGACATAGCCAAAGTATAATTTCTGTGATGAGGAGACAACAGATCATAGCCCAAGTAATCTTCAATGGGATATTGTTTGCCACATTCAGTACCATTCTTCGTAGAATCTGAATGAGGGGACAACTGAGACATGAGACTACAATGAAAATCTTTCAAGTATGAGGGAACATGTTTAACTCTAGTGGATTTCCTTGTAGGTATGATGTGAGGTAAAGAATAATTAGCAGATCAGCCAGTGATGGATTCCACACTGGGAGAAGTAATAGGAGAGTGATGATGAGGAGCTGAGTTTTGAGAGTTGCGTTGATGAACAGAAATGATAGAATTATCAAAGACGTGTGGAGGGAAACTCATCTACATATTGATGAGGATTGATGGAAAATAGAATAAAATTCATGTCATTTGAATTGTCAGACTTTGACAAGAAACTGAGTAAAGAAGGATGGTGGAAAGGAAATATGTTTTCACAAAATGAGACATCTCTGGAATCAAATACCATATTGGTCTTGAGATTGGGAAGCTTATAAGCTTTCATACCAAAAGGATAGCCAAGAAAGATGCAAGGAACAGTCCTGAGGTCAAATTTGGTCCAGTTCCTTTTCAAGGTAGAGGCATAACAAAGACACCCAACGACCTTTAGGTGGTTGTAGAAAGGTGTGGTCTGAAAGAGCATCTCAAAAGGTGTTTTGTTATCAAAAAGGTTGGTAGGTGTTCTGTTTATGATATATGTGGCAGTTAGAATACAATCTCCCCAAAAGCGATGAGGTAAGTTGGCTTGGAATTTAAGAACTCGAGTAATGTTAAGTAGGTGTTGGTGTTTCCGTTCAACCACACCATTCTGCCGTGGTGTTTCAACACAACTTAATTGATGGATAATACCCTTGGAAAGATAGAAATCAGTCATCTGAAACTCCAAGCCATTGTCAGATCTGATAGTGTTTATGTTGCACTGAAAATGAGCTTGAATGAGGTGATACAATGATTGGATAAGGGTTCGAGTTTGAGACTTATTCCTCATGAGATAGGTCCATGTCATCCTACTATAATCATCAACAATAGTTGGGAAGTATTTTGACCCGTCTAAGGAAGTCACATAATATGGTCCCCAAATGTCGCAATAAATGATTTCAAAAGGCTTAGATGCTTTAGTATTACTATTAGGGAAATATAGCCTGTGCTGTTTAGCTAATGGATAGATAGTGCAATGTAAGTCCTTATTGAAACCAACATTAGGAATAGATTTACTCAAAAGAGAAATTTTGGAGGCAGGCAAGTACCCCAATCGACAATGTCAGATATTAATATTCATTTTGACATCATTACCATCAATGGTATTACAAACTGGAATAGATTTATTACAATCAAAAGGAAAACTAGGAATGACAGTAGGTTTTCTGGTGTTGAAATTATTAAAAACAGAATTGAGTTGATGATAATGTGAAGACTAAACGTTAGTTGGAGACTGATGTTGTTGGAAATGATATAGTCCATGCTCAAGAGCCTACCCCAATCATCTTCCACGTTAAAAGATCCCGAATAAAGCAATAGTCATGGAAAAACATCAGATAACAACGATGTTGAAGTATCAATTTACTAAGTGATATCAAATTGAACTTAAATGATGGCACAACAAGCACATTTTGCAGACATAATGTAGAAGATAACTTCACTTCTCCAATATGAGTAACAACAACTGAATCACCATTAGGTAAACTTCACAGAAGCACCTACAACCGCAGTCACAGTAGCCAAAGACTTGACTGAATACACCATGTGTTCTGAAGCACCAGTATCAATGATCCATATATTTGATACTGATGCATTATTGAACTGAAATTGATTACCTAAGAAAGAAAATGAGTCAGGATCTATGGTAGAGGATGAATTCACATCCTGGGGCTGTGGATTTTGAGTGATTTGACTTTGTAACTGAGGCATCAACACAGATAGGATCTGCTGGCACTGAATTGGAGTAATAGTCAGGTGTGAAAGGGAGTTCATTATCCCTGAGGCATCACCATTAATTGTTTCACTATGATGTACTTGTCCTACAACATTAGCAATAGGAGACTTTCCTCTACCAGTTGAGGAATTGAAGCCAGAATTGAAGCTAGTTCTATGATTTGAAGGATAGCCAATTAGCTTTGACATTTGCCTTTGATATGACCAGGCATTCCACATTGACTGCAAACCGGTCTCTCTCTTCTCTGATAAGTGTTAATAGAATTAAATCTCTGGTTAAAAGGCCTCTGTATGGCTTTAATTGCGGAAGCAACAGCATCATGTGTTCCTAGCCTATTTGCAAAAATCTCCTTTTGCCTCCCATCTTGCAAAACAAGGGCAAAGGCTTTATTCAGCGTGGGGAATGGATCCATCAAAAGGATCTGACCTCTAACACCAGCAAATTGATCATCCAAACCCACGAGGAATTGCATAATCTGATCCTCACGTTTGTACTTAGTATTTTCAACTCCAGATCTATAATTCTCTAATCTTCACAAAGTCCTTTCAACCTATTAAAATAGGAATTGATAGAATTGTTCGCCTGAGATATAGAAGCAGTTTGATTCTTCAATTCATAGATCCTAGTGCCATTCCCCTTACTGTACCTATCACGTAGCTCAGTCCATATTTCTCTTGCTGAATCTTTATACGTTACACTTAGATAAAGTTCCTTAGGAATTGAATTGATGATCCAAGAGGAAACCACATGGTTGCACCTCATCCAGGCTGTAAATAGGGGATCATCCTGAGAAGGTTTGATGATAGATCCGTCGATGAAACCTTCTTTATGCTTAACACTGGGTGCCATAATAGCTGCTCGACTCCACGTGGCATAATTTTTCTCTGTAAGAGTGACTGAAATCAACTGCATTCTAGTGTTGTCTCCATAATGAAGGTAGCAAGGGCTACTCGAATCACTCATCAAGTGATTAATCATAGAGACTAAATCTCCTCCAACCGTATCTTCAGCTGATGACTCTACGAACGAATTCATCTGCTCAAACTGATTTTGAGCCTCCGCCTGAACACTAGATTCGTTTGCCATCATAAATTGATTAAATTCAGAGGAAGACGATAATAGATCTGCGCACGGAAGGAGCTTCACGCTCTGATGCCATGTAGAAATGTAAAAGAAGAATCTAGATTGATGGAGAGAAAATGGCAGGAAATGGTTGTTTCATTCAATTGGAAAATGGAATTACACTATATACAAATGAAAAGGGAGAAGAAATTTGTACTGTGGCAACTAACAAAACAGAATGAAAAGTTGGTAAATGACATAAATAACCCTCTACTATTTTAACATCTCAACAAATATTGTATTCAAACAAAACCTGTCTAAACCTTACAACTTCTGGCCTCTAAATAATCAAATTGGTCAAGACCTCAATCAATTTGAATAAAGACAAAAATAGAAGTTAAATAAAACAAAGGCGTAAATTCTATAGGTTTCCATCAAGCAATCTGCTGTTCTATAAAGCAATATGTCCGCCTACTGTTTTATTGCGTTTCTAATCAAAGTTTGCTTCTTTTTATTATCTTGGACTCCATCACAGTCTAACTTGGACGATATAATTTTAGTTTACTGGAAACGGAGAATCGTGTTAACTACTGTTACTTGGTGATTCTTTCAGCTGATATCAAATGAGAAGTTCAAGAGCAGCCAACATAGAGTGCTAGCAAACAAGGCTGGCCCAAGGGTATCAGTGGCAAGTTTCTTTACTACTGGTTTGGCACCATCAACAAAGATTTATGGACCTATTAAGGAGTTGTTATCAGAAGATAATCCTCCAAAATATAAAGAAACTTCTGTGAGAGAGTACTCTTTACACTACAATGCAAAAGGGATTGGAGGGACTTCTGCCTTGTTGGATTTCAGGCTCTAAACAGAATATTACTTTTCGTCTAAAGATTTGGAGCAGCAGAAATTCTGATTATATGCAGCATAATTTATAAGAAGTTTATTAATTTCTTTTTCTTCTTGAATATTTCCCATTGATGTACAAACCGCCTTTGTTAAAAATGCAGAGAAGTATGTCACCAAACTAAGAGAAAGTACTATTCAACTATGCACATCTTTCTTCATGTTCATGCCTAGCCTAAGTTTATCTATGCTTAAATCATTGAAATACCTTTCTCGGCATATTAAAGTGCTTCATGAACACCAAAATTTCGACGGGACAAATAATTGTGAGTCTTGCAAGCTAAGTAATTCTCGTCATTTTTAATTAATTCTATGATAAAGACAAATTACAAATCAGAATAGTGAATCAGTTTGCATGTCAACCCTCATATATTATTTGCGATGAAAATATATGTTGTGTCACATTGTGCTTTTCAAGAAAACACCCAACTTAAATTATCACAAGTGATAAAAGACACTTTCATTTTCATGCTCAATATCAAATAAATACAATTAAAAAACAACAATTTAGCAAAAATACCATAAGGATTTCTATCTTCTGGAAAGAAAATAGACATTCCGGCATCTGCTGCTGAGAGAAATGACAAGAGACGGTGAGTCGGCGACAGAAAGAATCTGGTAATTTGGAATCCTATCAACGTTGTTTGTTGAGACTCCCTAGTGTGTCCCCTAGTATTGAATTTGGAGCAACATTACTTTACACGAGGCGAAGTTTTTGTAAATAATCATCCCACTGGGAGCCAGCTTTTTGTAAATATTTCATTTAAGTTGTAAAAGAACTTTTTTCATTTGTAAAAGTTTATTATGATTTCTCATCTTTTAAACGTGTACTATAATAATGTAAATTCGTGTTTTTTTCCCAAAAGCCTATTATAGGAGCATTGAGTTTTTGAAATATTGTGTGGTGTTTTTTGGTATAGGTCCCTTGCACCAACCATAAATTTATTGCTTTCATAATCTATGAATAACCAACTTTTGCATTTAAATCTTGTCGAAGCTTTTGTAATTTTTTCCATCTTGATATTTTTGATGGGTGAAATGATGGGTTTTCGTCGGACAAAGATTGAAGTTTCAAAATATATGACAAATTCAAGGTCAAATCTCGATTTTTTATGCAAAAGAAGAGTACACTGAGCAAATATTAAGTTTGCCGTGTAAATCTCGAATTTGCTGTGGAGCATGTGAGGAATTAGTGTACAATTATTGTTTCAATGTTCTTCCCATGACAAATAATATACTATTGAAAAGATAATTGAATTTAGATGTTCATTATAAAAAAGTGCATTTCAGAGTTTGGAATAAAAAATATCACATTTGAAGTTAGGTAGTCGAACAAATTCGATATTTTCACAACAAACTCGATATTTGTCCATCATACTCAACTTTTACATAAAAAACTTGAGATTTTCCTAGAAAGCTCGAGATTTATGGCAAACTCAAGATTTGAACTACTAATTCACCAAATGTCTACAAGATTTGATATTTATCAGTGAAAATTCGTCATTTCACCCATTAAATTTCACCCATTAAACTAGATATTATATATAACATCCAGATCAAAATTAATTCCCTTGGAGAATGCAGATAATCTAAAATGTAGAATTTCTAATACAGATAACCTAGGATAAAGTTTAGTGAGCATTCATTTAATTAACTCGTATAATCCATTGTCCTCTTATGCAACAGGAGTTCTGAGTATGATAATATATATATATACCGAAAAGAATTTTTTACGTGCACATACATATAAATTCAAACATATAATATTATCATTTTAGAATAACTAAGATTAGGCGGTAAGATAGCTTATTAGTGTCTTGACCAAAATTCCATTGGCAAATAACACAAATGGACTAGAGAGGATAATTTGACGGAGCAAATGGATAAATTGAAATAACATAAGTGATTCATGCGAAGAATGATAGATTTATGATTTCAAATGCTAGAAGTGAAATGATAGAGACGATTTGTCAACTGAAAATAAGCGATAGTGACATTTTTTGTCAATTACCCATTTATTTATGATAATACCTTGCTCAAGTAAAGAATGAAATTGCACACTTACATTTTATGGAAGATCTTGTATTAATTATAATAGTATTCTGATGTTTATATATTTATTTTTATCACTTGTTTGAAAGATGTTATTTTTACATCAATATAATCGTGGTTTGAAATAAAATTAAATCACAAAATTGATTAATTTGAAAAATGAATTAGTTTGATTTATTAGTTTGAAAATTTTCCAAATCTTTTATTATGATTTGATTTGAAAATAATTTAAAAATCATCCAAATCAAAATCATGTTCACCACTATACTTCTAGAGACAAGGCCTAAAGTCTCCCCTTTATTCTAATTCTTTCTATTGATAAAAGTAGGGGTAGGCAAAAAAATCAAAAAATTGATCAAATCGACCAAACCAAACCGATTCGTTAGGTTAATTTTAACTATGAAAAAAGTTGGGTTGGATTGGTTACAGTTTAAACAACCAATCCATCAGTTAACCGACTCAACTCGCTAATACATTTTTTTTAAATTCATATTTTTAAACATAAAAACAAAATAATATAAATATAAATATAAATCTTTCTCAAATAATTTGTTTATCATCTATGTTTATTCTATTAAAACTTCAAATTTCGAAGCAAAAGAAAAATAGGGAGAAGAATTGATTGTTGTAAACTTCAAATTCAAATTGTAGTCTAACTTTTCATTTATATCTAATTGTATTTTTGACAACTACCAGATATAAAATATTTTTTTTTATTAAAGGAGGGTGGTACCTCATTTGTAGATGAGGAAATAATGAAAATAGTAAATAAAGAAGTACTACTTCTCTTACAAAAAAATAAATGATAAGGGGTAAATGTAAAGCAGTAAAAAGGAATTGTGCTGTCTGTGATCTGTTTGAGTATGCCCTGAATAGCTCATGGTCCTCTTTATCTAATGATGCACTGAATATCAACTATAGAATTTGACACAATCCAAACGTCTAGAAAATCGAATCCTTTAGCTAGTAGAATCCCAACAAGATAGTCCTGAACTCTGTCTCTAATATCATGCAAGGTCCATGCGAAGATGAAAAAGCCCTGATACTGTGTCCTGTGTGATCTCTGATGATGTGTTCCCCTGATTGCAATACCATCCTTGACTTATCTATCAGTATTGATCTTGACAGATCCAACTAATGGAGTGTGCTACCAAACCAGAACATGAGGAGATGGAGATGGGGAGATCACAAAGATGGGTGCAAGTATCAGATCCCATCTCCAATGCACAGCTCGAAACAGTCCTCCCATATGAAGAAAAGAGATCATGCAATAAACCCTCCATATAATACGTCTGGCTACCATGCGGATCCTCCTATGCTTTACATCATTCCCCTTGGTCCATAAAAACCAAAATACCAGTAGAGGAATGATAGTGCGAATGTGTCCATAGTGAACATATTGTCCAGAATCCGGAACCTCTATCTAACTCCCTCTTCAAATTCATAGGTCTTTGAGAAATGTTCACAAAATGTGACTGATAGTTTTGATCTCGGTAAAAATATAACGTCGGTAAAAACTCAAATATTCTTTTGGAATATGACGTCGGTAAAAATATGACTGATAGTTTCGATCTCGGAATAACACTGGGAGCGGGAAGCTAACTGACATCCTATCTTTCTCTGAATAACTACATCTACTAAAATGAGGTCCTACCATAGTCTCCAACAGAAAAATGAGACAGTGATGGGCAAAATGGAGCTCCACAGTAATCGATATGAATCCTGATACTGGCGTCCAGAATGTACAAGCCGCCATGCAGACTTGGTAGCGAAGCTACCATTCGATGTATCCCTCCAAACAATGCGATCTGAGGCATCTGCACATAAATGTATAACGTATATTTGTTCCACCATAAATGGAGGGAGAACCTGTAATAAACATCCAATATCCTACCTAATATCATAAAAAAAAACCTGCACCCTTACAGATGTGTGTTGTCGGTGTGAGAATAGGGAGACCAACGTGGGGTCGCCCATCTAGCAATTATGCCAGAAGAATATTTGACCTGCTCCAATGTGCCATGCAATGTGTGGCTCTGTCGGGCCAGGTAGAAGAAGATTAGTAGGGAATTGCTGCAAGTAAAGGATGTGTCCCCATACAATACTTGCTCAGTAAAAACTAGGCTCAAAGTGATCTCTGAGAATGAAATAAGCACTAGAGCTTTATGGAAAAGGTGTTCACCACATTCTGTAATCTGTTGAAGCCTAGACCACCATCATCAGTAGGAAATCAAATCTCTTTCCAACTTCGCCAATGTTATCGTCGCGCCTGTTCCTTGGAGTTCTACATGAATCGTGTACAGATGATCTCAAGTTTATTCAGGACAGCATTGGGGGGCTGCATAATTTGAAGAAGATGTAATGGTATGGAATAAAGCACTGACCTCAGCAAAGTAATACGATCCCCAGGTGATAATAATCTTGAAGCCCAACCCGAGATATTGTCCTTGACCTTATGGGTAAGGTCATCATAAATGAAGCTCATCTTAATCTCCTTAAATAAGGGGACCAAATAAGTGAAATGCTGTTGCTGTATCGAAATCCAGTCAAAATCTCAAGTTGTCTAGTCTGACTAATAGATGCCCGTCTGGGTAGAATAAGTCATTTCTTGTTCATATTCACCAACTGACTATAAACCCCTTCATAATGTTTCAGACAATCAAAACCTTCCTAATAGATTGTTTTTTGCTGTTGGTGAATATGATCATGAAAGGTGTGAGATAAGAGTACTACCTTCATGTCGATAGAATATACTGGGATACTTCTGAAACCTTTAAGTGAGCAGGCGTGAGAAGTAATCTGCAGCTATGATGAACAATGATGGCTAAATGGGATCACACTATCTTAGCCCTTGTGAGAAGGGAAATAAACTAAATTGGCGGCCATTTAGAAGTATAGAAAAACGACGCT